GATGTCAGGTTATTAGACCTCAAGGCCTCCCCCAGCTGCCCCACCTCCTCCAGAACCACAGACTGGGAGCCACGTGTTCAAACTCAGGCTCTGATAGGAGGACCCCTTACATTCAAAGCACAGTGTGCTCTTTGTAGACTCTGCCCTACTCTCTTCTTATACCGAGGAGATCAGTCATTTTGAACAGAGCCCACCCTAACTATCTCATGTCACTTAATTACCACTTTAAAGATCTATATCCAAATGTAGATCTAAAGCATGGGGAATGGGAGTCCTACATAAAAATTCAGGGAGCCATAATTCAACCATAAGAGTGATGTGTACAGAGATGGGGAAGATGGCTCCCAAGGTAGGATCACTTGCTGCTCTGGCAGAGGGTCCAAGTTCGGTTCCCAGCACCTAATCAGGAGACTCACAACTGCTTATGACTCCATTTCCACTCTGTCTCCACAGGCACTTATTGTACATACATACATACGTACATACATACGTACATACATACATACACACCTTTTTAAAAAGAGTGACACATACAGATAACTAAGCTATAAGTTCACTTATTTGCAGTAAATGAAAATACATACAGTGTTCCTTGCAGGATAATTTTAAGACTGGAATAATTGTGTTTCTTCTTCAGAATTTCCCTTTCTTGCTATTCTAAGCAAATGGTCGGACTCCGGCCACTTTCCTGCCTCACGACCACTTGCTGAGATGGAAGTGAAGATGGCGATCACTGTTCTTGGTTTGGAAAAGATTAAATCTTCATGAGGTAAGTGTGTAAACTATTCCAGAAGGGAAGGAAAGGATGGAAAAATACCACTGAGAAAAGTGATAAAGGCCTGGCCAGAGGACCGTCTGTGGGTCTCTCAGGAAACAGTGTCACCAGTGGGCTGGTGACATGGAGGTAAGAGACAGGCCCCAGAGAGAAATAGGTGCTGGGTCTTAGGAAGGATACTGGACTCCAACCCCCGCTGCATGAAAGTCGTGGAAGGTGGAGCTGGGTAATTGACTGCTAACCAATAAACACCATGGCTATTTCAGTGACTTCAGTGAAAGCAGGTGGCAGGCAGCCTAGTACTTTGCAGAACCCCATGAGCTTTGCAAAGAGCCTGGTGTGTCAGTCTGTTTGGGATGCTCTAGAAGAATAACATGGACTGGCTGATTTTAACGCAGACATTCTTTTCTCAAAGTTCTGGAGCCTGGGATGTCCAATATCAAAGTCACAGGAGATTCAGTGTCTGATGAGGACTCTCCTTGTGGTTTGTAGATGTCTGCCTCTTCCATACATTTCCACGTGGGTAGCTGAAGTCCGTCTTTGTTGTGTCTGTCTTCTACGAGGGCACTAGTCTATGTTTACAGATTGCCCACTCATTCAAGTGGTTTCTTAACAGAATGACTATCGGAAGAGCTTTAGAGAGTATATCACTGAGGCACACAGACAAGATTCCCCACTCTCTTAGGAAGGAATCTTACTGGAGGAACCTGAAAAATAAGTGAAATAATTTGGAGAGAAGTGAAAGCCAACAAGGAAATAAAGCAGGGTAAAGTAAGGTCATGTGATTAAAGTGACAGGAAGAAGATACAAGCACATTAGGTAATGAGAGCCTCCGTGGGCTGAACTGAATGACAAGAAGATAATTATTTGGGATGCAGTAGGAGTGGAAAGAGGCAGGGTCTAGAGAATGACTAAGGGGAGCCTGGCACAGCCTAAGCACTCTGGTTCAACCCGGAGAATATTCAACAGGAAGCTGATAAAGTTGAAGCCCCACAGACGTTATTTCCAGGATACCTCCTAAGGCTTAGGAAGAAAGACCAATGTATGTGTAACTGTTTGTATGCCCTCGTGAAACTGCCAAAGACACTTAAATCACTTCGGTAGTAGCTAGCTCTAATTTCTCCTCTAGTATGGAACTAAAGTGGCAGGGATGTGATTGTAATTTAGCTAAGACAAATATGATGGGGGTTAATTTACTCTATTTATATGGCTGACAATGATATACATGTACAGTTATAGCCAGCCACCTGTCCAGGGAAGGAATGATGGCGTCCAGGCACAATCTTCCAATGCGTTATACCAACTTACTTGATGTGGCAATATTACCGGAAATGGCTTATGAAGTCAGTGTGGGTCACCCCATTTGACACTGAATACTTGGGCAATGGAAAGGACAAGTGGACATTGCTATGTGTCAGTACAGAAGCTGGTCAACAGGAAATTCCTCCAATTTCCAAACAATAAACTATCTTGGAAACACTTGGGTTTTGTTTGGTTGGTTTTTTTTTTTTTTTTTTTTTTTTTTTTTTTTTTTTGAGACAGGGTTTCTCCGTGTAGCCTTGGCTGTCCTGGACTTGCTTTGTAGACTAGGCTGGCCTCAAACTCACAGAGACCCTCCTGCCTCTGCCTCATTGAGTGCTGGAATAACAGGTGTGAGACACCTCATCCAGATGGAAAGATTTGTTTTTTAACAAGGATTTTTCAGATAGAAAATCCTCATGACTTTGTGAGCACAAACCTGTACGCTTGTTACAGAGACCATTTCTACACAGGAATTCAGATTTCGTGTGCAATGCAACTACCAGTGATAAATGATTGGTTCTGATTAATTATGCCTAAACTTAATGAATCTGCTGCAAAACTAAGGGATTGGAAGTTAGACAAATTCTCGGATAGGCAGACAGCTAGGGAAAGGTGCCATGGGTAAGAAATAAAGATGGCGGTCTTTGAAGATGGCTGACTACTTCCCCACCTTCCTGACCTGAGACAAAAACATGGAAGATTAAAACAGAGGGTTGGCAGGCTTTTTTCCCTACCAAAAAAGCTCACCCTACCTACTCACCCCATCCTACTGCCCCCCTCAGGTGACAGACTGGTTCCACAAGTTCAAGGTAGGATCAGAACATGTTTATGCCAAATCTGTGACATCTTGTCACTGATCAAACTGAGTAAATTAGGGAGACTCCCTCGAAGACCCTTAAAAACCCCATCCCTAGAGGAGAGACTGGACTTTAGGGTTCCTGGTCTCCCCCTCTACTTTCTCGAAGGTCTATCTCTCTGTGTGCTTGCTGTATTTGCCTGCTCCCTGGGAAAATGTATGAAGGAAGCAGTCACCTACCAGAACTGTCTCCCTTTCTTCACCAGCTGCCTCTGCTTGCTGTGTTGGAGATTCACTGCAGCGTTTTCCCTGCCTTTTTGTTCTTTAACTGGCGGAGGAAAAGAACTGGAACAGGACCTCTAGGCCATAACAAAATTATAATCATATAAAAAATTATATTCTCCAGCTAAATTTATACAGGAAAAAAAAGTGTGTCCAATGGGTAAAGTATATCCTTTTCCTTGCCTAACTTTTGTATGTTTTTTTTGCAGTATGATATACATTTTTAATATTGATCATCTTGTTTTAAAAACTTGCAACTTTCTTTTCTGATTGTAAACATTCACTTCCATCCCTAAGTTTATAATCTGTGTACTTGTATTTATTGCTTTGGCCTCTGTCACTGAAAAAACAAACAGTCTGCCAATAA